TTAATCTATGCATGCTAGCATAGTGCATGCACATTAGCACTCAGTAAGATCAGCAGCTTCCACGAAATGGGGACCAAATAGTTAAACAATATAAATACATAGCTTACTGTAAAGTACTTTTCAAGAACTTGACCTAACTAATCATACACATTTCCAGCAACTTAAAAATGATTCAAATGCCTTAAAGCAATCCATTCATTTAACTCCTTCACCAGACTTAAGGTTCTGTACAAAGACATAGACAATGCTGATATTTCTCTTTTGGAACTTTTTGATCTTAAATACAAGAGAGTGATATCGAAGCTTTAGAATTCAAATTTTTATAATTTCATTTAATTAGCAATGTTGATGTCCAAATCTGTTTTAAATTTTCATAGTATAATTGAATAAATGTACTCAATGCATTAAAAATTACAGAGTAGCAACAATGTCAAGAATCCCATTAAAATCCAACATATCTAAAACAGTCAAGAACCACTACAGACAATAGCTTCTCTGAAGCCATGTAACACTTAAATAAGATTCAGACTTCAATGCAGAATTTTGGTTAGAAAGCTTGATGGGCTCCATCTTCAAGATTAAAGAAAGGCAAAATTGTATTTCACAGATGAAGTCCAGTGGAAATCCACTAAAAATGGACAACATAGCTTTTTGAAAGTTCTAATAAGTAATTCTTTAAACTGTTTTTTGTTGACCTTTCTTTCCAATGAGAGATTTATGAATATGTGGAATTACACCTGAAAGAAAAAAAAGGAAAGATTTATTCAAGTGAGGCGACAGAATCACTAAAATATTACCAACTAGAGATGCCACAAAATAGTAAAATTAGCACATACCTCCACCAGCAATTGTTGCTTTGATTAATGAATCCAGTTCTTCATCACCTCTTATTGCAAGCTGCAAATGACGAGGAGTAATTCGCTTTACCTTCAAATCTTTAGATGCATTCCCTGCCAGCTCAAGAACCTATAGAGATGAAAACAAGACAAATTGTTAATTGCAAAGCAGCCCATTTAAAATGCCAAACAGTCATGCCTTCATTGAGGATACAATGACCTACGAAGAGGTAAGGAAGCTGGTCCCCACAAATGATGTCTTGACAGTCCATCCTGGAACATACCAAAAATGCTGGCAAGGAACTTGGAGAATGGCACACTCCCCCTTGAGCTATGGTAATGCAATAGGTCCACAGCATAGCATCATGCATGTGCATAACATCCTATTGAACAGTGATTTTCAGGTAGTGTATGCCACATTGAAAAATATGTTGAGTGTTTTGTTCTATGTGTGTACATAAACACAAACTAACTCTGGCTGCTTTGCTTTGGACAACAGTGATTTATAGTAGTAAAGAATGGAAAAGGCTGATGTCAGTGACTGCAGAAGGAAACAGAATTTCAGGAACAGAAAAGTCAGAGAATATGTTGAAGTGGGAGCTGTTGACACTAGGGCTGCCATCTTGTATTTTTTAAACTAAAGTTTTGAATAACCAAAACAATTGAAGCTTTTGTTCTGCAAACTGTGGCTGATCCTGAACAATCTGGCAGAAACCCAAAATGTGAGGTCCAAAAGTAACAGTTAGCCAACATCATGCAACTATACATATATAGATCGTAATCTCCAGTGCTTGCTGTGTCTATTTCAATTTGTAAATTGGTAGACAAACTACACCTGGATTTTAACAGCCAACATCCTCAGTTACTGTTTATGCTCAGTTACTGTTCATACTTGAGAGTTTACATACCATAGTGTTTTTCAGTCCCCTTTTGTACTTCAATTTGGGATTTTTGTTTTGTTTTCCCCACTGAATTTCTTCCTTTACCTCAACATATATTAGCTATGCTAAGAGAAAAATGCTTAGGGATCTTTGAAACAATATTTGTTTTTATTTGCATCAATTTATATTGCTTGTATGCTTCTCTGGGATAACTATAGCTTGTCTTTTGGAACAGAAAAAAAACATTAAGAAATCTAATAAATACAGCTACTGTACTTGAGATATAGGATGTTGTAGTATTTTATCTTTTAAGTCCTATAATGTAAAATGCTTTTATCCCAACCAAGCTCTCACCTCAGCTGTGAGGTACTCCAAGATTGCAGCACTATAAACAGCAGCTGTAGCCCCCACACGTCCATGACTTGTTGTCCTCGATTTCAGGTGCCGATGAATACGACCAACAGGAAACTGTACACACAGGGAAAAAAAAGAGCTCAACATCTAAATATAGTATTTACCACTGTTCATCTTTCAAATGTACCTAAATACTTGTTTCGAATCTACGTAGTTTTTTTTTTAAAAAAACAGCAACTAGTGATGCTCTAAAAGGATTAATAAATATTTTAACTTCTTCCCTTTTCCAGAAGAGGCAAAACATATTGATTCTGTAAGACAGATGACCTAAACCAGAGGGCTTCAAACTTGGCAACTTTAAGTCATGTGGACTTCAACTCCCAGAATTCTCCAGCCAGCATAGCTGTTGGAGAATTCTGGGAGTTGAAGTCCCCAAGGCTTAAAGTTGCCAAGTTTGGGGATCACCCACCTGTAAGCCGGCTCTCTGTGATCGGGATACAGTCTTGGTTTTCGTCTTTCCGGAGTCCTTCCCAGCTTTTCCTCCAGCCTGGAGAAGGGGGAAAAAAAGGGGGAAAAAATCACTTACACTAAACGTTAGCCCCTAACACACACCACATATTCTTTCCCTTAGGAAAGAGTCCCTTTCTAGCATCCACCATCCTTGCAAAGGCCCAAGATAGGAATCACGCGGCTGTTCTTCGGAATTCAAACCGAGCCTGGGAAGCGCGGGAAATGAGACATGCGCGTTGAGCGGAATCACGCCGGGCATCCCCCCGCCCGCCACGGAAATAGCCGCCGCGCACGCGCACACCGCCCTCCCTAGCCCGGCCATGGGCGCATGCGCCTCAAGAACTCTAAAACGCTCGACCACCGCAGTAGGGTGAGCCGTGTGTGTGTGCGGGTGTGACCGCGCCCTCTTTGCTTCGCCCCCCTCAATTCTTTCAAGTCTGAATTCTGTTGGGAGTACCCATACGTTACAAACGGCTTCATCAACGGCTGTCTCGCTTCTGAGAAAAATCCGCCAGCTCAGCCGGGCGCCCCCCCCCTTTCCCAATTCTTCTTTTTAGCCACATCTTACCATTTTCAGTGAGGTGATTCCGCTAGCGGGTGGAGAAACGAAGAGGATCGTCTAGGCCAATCGAATACGGCTACTTTTTCGGTTATTTCGATTGCCGCCCCTGCTATTTAGCGACAGCTCCAGTTCAAAACTGCACCCTCTCCCGCCTTCTATGAGCCCTTTATATCCGTCTGTAACGTCTCAACATCCGGGAACCCTGCTCTCAAGGCCAGCCAATCGCCACAAATGGGGCGGTTCTTCCTGCGCTCTCCGTCGACCAATAGGAAGTGAGACGGAAAAAAGTCGGGGGGGGGAGGAAGAACCCAGGGACTGTTAACTGTTCGGAGAAACTCGTGCGGAATCGCCGCTTGTGAGGCTCCGCCTCTTTTCTCAGACCCTCGCTGCTCGGTCTCTTATGTAGAGAGGATAAGCAGCCTGGCAAGGTGGGTTGGTTTTATGCAGGTCTAGAAGAACAGAATTGGAAGCCTGCTCAAACAGGAGACCCTGTGCCATTCCAGGCAAAGACGGCTGTCCCGTCTTTTCTTTGGAAACCTCCAAAGGATGGGGCACCCACAACTTCTGGAGGCAAGCCGTTCCAGTGGTCAGTAGTGCTCACTGTGCAGGAAACTTATTAGTTCTAGTAGTTAGATCGCTCCTTGATAAGTTTACATGCTTCTTGTCCTCTTTTTACTCCCTTTCTTTTCTCTCCTTTTTGGTTTGGCTCTGCAACCAAACAAGGCAGACACAGACCTTAACGGATAATTAGATCTGGAAAAAAAAAACCAATTACTACGAACCTGCCTTCCATTGAGGACCTATATACTGCACACGTCAGAAAGAGGGCTGTGAAAATATCTGGAGACACCTCACATCCTGGACATAAATTGTGTCAACTTCTACCTTCAAAACGATGCTATAGAGCAGTGTTTTTCAACCACTGTGCCGTG